CTCTGCCTCCTGGCCCTAAGTCCCTGCAGCCTCAGCCCCAGTCAGACGCCCAGTGCCCAGGCCTGATCTCAGCCAACACTGACTGCAGAAACAGACTGAACCCAGAGGAGCCTCCCTGCCTGGCACACGCACCTCAAGAGGCCCACAGAGCCCAGCCAGAGCACAGCCTCACCAGGCACATGGGCCCTCCAGGGCCTTGACCCACAACACAGACTCACTTCCCCACCTGTAAAAAGGGACATTTTCCACCTGTGGGGACAAAACAGGAAAACAGAAAAGTGGCTGACAGGTGGTGCCACCTGCAGAAGCTTTTTCCTTTGTCCTTGTTTTGGGAAATAGCAGCCCAACCACGAGCTGCTGGCACATGGCCTGGGACCAGGATTTGGTAACCTGAACGCTAGTTCAGACACACGCATTCATGTAAGAAATGTCACCATTATCAATGTTTTGCAGCTGTAAAGTGTCACAGCGTCAGCCCAAGAATTAGAGTGAAAAATACAGGTGATTGCAGTGTAGGGTTTGTGTGTGTGTGTGTGTGTGTGTGTGTGTGTTTGTGTGTGTGTGTGACTTTCCAAATGATGCAAAAGCACCTATCCTGTTTTTCACTCTTGGTACCAGCATTCAATAAATTATATTAGTACATGAGCTAGCTGATATTTTACCCTAAAATAGGCTCTGTAATAGGTGATTTTGCCCAGTGGTAGGCCACTATGTGTTGCACATAGAGAGGGATTAGACTAATCAAGGTCACGTGCATTAAATGCCTTTTCAGTATTTTTCAACTTGTGATGGCTTTATCAGAACATCTTTCTAGGGTCGGGGATTTAGCTCAGTAGTATAAGCGCCTGATGTGCAAGTGTGAGGTCATGAGTTCAATCTCCTGTACCAAAAAAACAAACCAAAAAACCCAACAGAACATCTTTCTATTGTATATGCAAACTAAAACAAGTAATTTTCTTGTCTTTTTAAGACAAGGTCTTGCTATACACTTCAGGCTGGCCTTGACCTCACTTTGTAGCCCAGGATGGTCTCTAACTTGCAACAATCCTCCTGTCTCAGCCTCCCAGAGAGTGCTGGGATTACAGGAGTATGCCAATACATCCAGTTTAAGCCAAATAATTTTTGTTTTTGTTTTCTGAGATAGGATCTTACTATGTAGTTCAGGTGCACCTTGGGCTCAGTGATCCTCCCGCCTCAACCTCCCATGTGCTGGGATTATATGAGTATGCCACCAAACCCAGCCTATACCAAATAATTATGCCATCTCTGTATCAAACAGGAATACACAGATGCTTGGTAACAGAAATACAGGAATTTTCTTGCTGGCCTCAGATAAAACCTCACTGCAAGCCGGAGTCTCTCCACTTCTCCACCCACGCTGCACCTGCAACACCAAAAACAGCCTGCAGCACCCACCTGCCAGCCAGCCCACTAGGGTGTAGCACTGCTCACTTTCCTTCCTCTGTAGAAAGAGGTTTCGCAAGCAAATGAGGGAACCCAGCCTCAGGCAGACACAGTCCTGTGCGGGTCAGCATTGCACACAGCCCCTCCTGCCCACACAGCAGCTTTGCAGAAGGCCACAGGGTTTCCTTTGCTTGTTTGGTTTCATTTTTTTGTTTTTTTTTTGACACAGGGTCTCACTTTGTAGCCCAGGCTGGCCTCGAACTCACAACAGTCCTCTTGCCTCGGCCTCCCAAGTACTGGGATTACAGCCATGCACCACCACGCTTAGCTTTGCAGAAAGCTACATTGTGATCTTGGCCGCAGGCCAGACTAAGCCCCAGACCCAGCAGTCAGTCATCTTCCTAGCAGTGGCTGCCTCATTTCTGTGCCGCTCAACTTGAGGTCACGACTGCCACCCAGGCAATCCATGCCCTGAGAACACAGTCGGTGTAGTACCAAGGTCAGAACCGGGGCCTCACAAGGGTTGAACACCTTTCTAGTTACTCTGAGCCCCTAAAAACACCAACTCTCCTGAAGCCTCATCTGTGAGTACAGACATGGTCTTTCCTCCTTCAAAACTTTCCCTCTGATGACAATGAGTAATGTATCAACTAGCCATTCTATGATGATAATTTTTTTTGAATTCTGTATTGTTCTACCCTTCTTTTCTGTTTTTCTACTTTCTTTAATTTTCTTTCTTTGGAAAAAAAGAGAACAATATGCAATATAATAACCATTGTTAAATTTCTTTCATTGTTTTGAAAACCTATATTATTATTTTGAGTTTGCTGTTATTGTTTATGCTTTTTGCTTTTTGTTTTTCTTTTCTGACTTTTCTCTTTTTTAAATTAAAAAAAGAATTTCCCTCTGAAGTTCACATTATTCATGACTGTTCATTTGCAACACCGAATGGGAGGGTAGCTTTAAAACAAACCACTCCTCTCCTCTCTCTCTTTCTCTCTGTCTGTCTCCCCTTCCAGTGTGAAGGATAGAACCCTGGGCCTTGCACATCTGAGGCTACTGTGGTACCACTGAGCTAAGTCCCCAGCCCTTCCTCCACTTTTTAGCTGGGGCTTCATTTACTGAAAAGATCGCAGGTACAAATGTAAAGCCAGTCCCAAATTCCATTACTAAGGCTTAGTGTCTTCAGAAATGGTTGTTTTGTAGCTTATTAAATAACTTTGTTGTTCTTTGTAAACATCCTCATTTGGGCCAAGAGGAAAAAGAGGGGGTTAAAAGACTGAGTTGGGTGGAGGGAGCCTGGGAGACTCCGGGTGGTTCTTGGGGAAAGTCCCATCAAGAGAGTTCTTGGCACCAATCCAAAAGTGTCAGCCTCTTCTGTGTAGTGAGTAGCTGCATTTCAACTGGGTGGCCTGTCCCCTTCCAGGGCTAATAAGGAAGGAGGAGTCCACAGAAGGGAAATAGTGGCTGGCATGAGGCTCAGTGGCAGAGTGCTTGCCTAGTGCAAGCAGGGTCCTGGGTTCCATCCCTAACACCAAAGGAAACAGGGTAAAAGCCACAGGCATTTCTCACCACTGTGGTCTACATATGTGTGAAGTATATGAAGTCTGAATGCCTGGATTGTGATTCTGGGCAACTGTTTAACTCTCTTTGCCTTGGCTTCCCTATTTAAACAACGGGGATACTAATCTAGTTTCTGATCACTGTAATGCTCAAATGAGTTAGTTAATTCACACAGAGTTAGGTACAATGGTGCAGACCTGGAGTCCCAGCACTCAGGACTGGGGGCAGCAGGATCCCTTGGGGCACAGGAATTTTTTTTTTTTTTTTTTTTTTTGGTCTTTCTCCTTTTTTATCGGTACCGGGGATCGAACTCACGACTGCCTGCTTGCAAGGCAGGCACTTATGCCGCTGAGCTAAATCCCCAGCCCCTGGGCACAGGAATTTGAGACCAGCCTGGGAAACAGCAAGGTTCTCCTTCAACAAAATAATAAAATAAAACAAACAACTATTTTTCCAGGCATGTAGGAAGCTTAGTATGTTACAGATGATCATCCTCCTTCTCCTCTTCAGCCTCCCTGTGCAAGGCTTTGGACAAGGATACACGTGGCCTCTCACTGACTTGTTCAGGTCATGACCTCAGGAGGACAGAAGGGAGGGGCAGGACCAGACACAATAGCCTTGGGAGTGCTGCAGGTCCACACTGCCCCCAGAAACTGGGACCATCCCAGCCAAGGCTCCAAGCTTCCCCTACTCCCAGCATTTCCTGCACCACCCTGACTCCCCATCTTTTCTATCTGGCACACATCTATTCACCCTTCAGATCCCCAATATCCTGGCCTTTTCCACTAGCCCTCTCCATCCTCTTCAATGCAATGCACGTGTCCCCGAAGCTCTCTGCACCAACAGCAAGGCTTGCAAACCCAGAACCACAGTGGCCAGTCCGCATCTCCATTCTCACATGCATAACCTATGCTCCAGAACCCGCGAACAGCTGGTGAAGTGCCCCTTTTCTACCCCAGCTGTAAAGGGCCCAACCCGGGCTGCAGGGCGAGGACACATACTGAGGGCTGCAGGTGAACATCGGGAACCCTCCTTTTCCCAACAAAGCCTCACTAGAGTTCTGCCCACTCTAGTGAAGCCAGGACTCCCCTACTTCCAACCAGTTTGCTGACCCTATTCTCTTTCTTTCGGGTAGCACCATCATCCCAGTCACCGACTCAGGGAAAGCCTCATGATGATGCAGCCCAAGCCCAGGATAGCCCTCGAATCTCAGAGCCTCCCCCCCCCCCCCGGGCCAGAAAAGAGGAGGACTGAGCACTTTGAAAGAACCATGACGTGAAAGAACCACGCTGCCGTTCCTGCAGGCCTCCAGGAAGTGGAAGAAAGCCAGCACGGGTGGGACTAGGGCAGTCACGGGAAGGCAGTGTCCTCTCCACACTGCCCCCCTTCGCCCGGCAGATGAGGCCCATAGGTGCCCAACGGAAACCTACACTGTTCTCCTACTGTTCCCTCACTAACGCTGCCGCGGGCCCATCCTGCTCCCCACCAGATTGCATTCATGTTTGTTGAATGGAATGCATGAGTGAATGAATGGACCCGTGTCTACCTCGCCACTTGGTGGCCAAGAGTTTCAGGGCTCTTCCTGGGTCCTATCCCTACTGAGCCACTCAAGATTTCAATCCGCTTATTACCTGTACCCGTAATTCCCAGTCCTCAGAGGCGCTGTGGCCGCCACGTACCGCGGACTCCTAGAGCGCGGCAGGTGGGAGGCGGCCGGGCCGCTGAAGGCCGCCTGAGATTGGGTGGGGTCCCGCCCCGCCCCCGCCCCTTCCCGTGGGTCGCGTTGTTTCTGGATGGCCTAGCGGAGCGGCCCCGGACACCGCGACAGTGCCGGGACCTCGGCCTCCCCCATTTCCCGGGCCCCGCGCACCTGCCGGGGAGCCGGCCCACGTGCCGCCCGGAGGCCCACGTGGAGAGAAGCCACGGAGCCGCCCCCGCCGCACGGGGACGGCGCGGAAGGGCAGAGAAGGCCGAGCGCGCTCCCCACCCAGCAACTGGCTGCACCCAGCGCGCGACGGCCCAGCGCTACTCACAGAAGACTCGCGGCAGAGACGGGCGGAGGCGGGCCGAGACGCTGTGCGCTCGAGCGCCGCAACGCAGCCTTTAAGACCCGAAGTCCCGATCCTCCCGCCCCGGCCCCGCCCCGGCCCCGCCATGCCCCGCCCATGCCCCGCCCCAAGCTCCGGCCCGCCCCCGCCCCCGCCCCGTCCGGGTCTGGGGTGCCCAGTGATATTGGTACATTTTCTAACATTTCCTGTAGGAAACTGCAAACTGTTTTGCGATAGGCCCGGGGTGGCAGTTCTCGGTCCTCACCAGACCGAGTGGAAAAAATACGAGTCAAACCCCATGGGTCACGAAAAATGAGATCCGTGCCATTGGCCAGTGCCCACACCCAGTCCGGCCCCCTGCCGGGCGACGATGTGGGGAGCTGTACACCCCAAAGGAAAGCAGAAGACCACAGCCAGCAGAGAAAGAAACAGGAAAGCCAGTGTCCAAAAAGGAAGAGGAAGCAAACGGAAACGAGAAAGTTGCTCTGCCACACAGAATGAAAACAGAATCTAAAAGACTGGAAGAACTATAACCAGAAATCACGTGTTTGCCTAATGTCACGGGAAATCACAACGATTTTTTTGTGTGTGTGTTTTCCATCTTTGTTTAAAAGGGGTGTGGCACTGTGGACAATGTATAAAAACCGTAAGAATTACATGATGAAATAGTTTAAATTTAGTCAGCATTATAAAACGAAAAAAATTAAGCAATATAATCCGTACTTCAAGTTGCTTTATCAGAGTTGTATGACCACGCAACTAAGGCTAAATAACAAGGGCTATCTTGATTTTTTGTTAACTTATTTTTTGTAATACCAAGAATTGAAATCAGTGCATGAAGTATGCCAGATAAGTGCTCTGCTACAAGAAAACACCCTCAAGCTTTTTAATTTTTATTTTATTTTGAGTCAGGACCTGGCTAAGTGGCCCAGGGTGGCCTTGAACTTTGGCCCTCCTGCATATATCCTCTGAACCTGTGAACAGACCACTGGCCGTAGACCTGCAATGTCAGTGAAACACGGAAGCACCACAGGCATCCAATTGCATTTCACCTCCACAGCTACCATCACAGCCTCTGCTTCCCCATAAGCTGGTCACCCCCTGTAGGTAGGGCGCAGGCACACCTTACTCTCCAGCCTGCCATCAGAAGGTGCCAGGGCCTGGCCGCTCCCAGTGCAATGTCGGCCCATGCATGGCACTGGTTTCAAGACTGGGCTTGTTTGCTGGTGTGGCCATTGTTCTCTCTGCCCCCAGTCCACGAATGGCCAAAAAGTACATTTTTAGAACCATATGTGGGCCATATACAGTCCAATCATACTAATAATCCTTCAAACCTCAACACTACCCATTTAACTTCTTATGTGAGTCACGTCTGAACAGTAAGCTTTGTTTCTGGGGTTGTTGTTTTGTTTTTGTTTTTGTTTTTTGGTACTAGAAATCAAACTCGGGACCTTGTGTTTGCCAGGAAGGCACTTGTGCCACTGAGCTATGTCACTGGCTCTGTTCTTTTGAGACAGATTCTTGATAAAAAAAATTTTTTTTGAGATAGGGTCTCGCTATGCAGTTCAGGCTGGCCTTGAGCTCACTTTGTAACCCAGGCTAGTCTCGAACTCACAACAATCCTCCTGCCTCAGCCTCCCGAGTACTGTGATTACAAGTGTGAGCCACCAAGCCTAGCATAATTCTTGATAAATTTTTTAGGATGACCTCAAACTTCCAATCTTTCTGCCTTAGTCTCTCAGAGTTCTGGGAGAATAGGCTCTCTCTGCCCTCTTTTTTAATCGGTACCGGGGATCAAACTCACGACCGCCTGCTTGCAAGGCAGGTACTTATGCCGCTGAGCTAAATCCCCAGCCCCTTCTCTGCCCTCTTAAACAGCATTCTGAGCAGAGTATGTGTAATTCTAGCTACTCAGGGAGCCTGAGACAGGCATATCACATGTGAAGCCAGAGGCCCTGGGTTCAACCCCTACCAAATCGCTAGGCAAGCACTGTACCATTGAGCTACATCCTCTGCCCTATCTGTCTTTTCTTGATGACTCCAGGCCATTATTATCAGCATGACTTCCTGTGCTGTGAAGTAGTCAGCAGCACTGTTTCACTCCTCAATCTCCACAGAGGAACCTGCTCCCCAGCCTGAGCATCCCCTGCTGGGGCTGGTACAGACAGCCCTCCTCTGGACACTCTCAGCCTATGGTGCAGGGTTGGACCCACTTTCTGCCCTCAGCACCTGTAGGTAGCCCAAGGGTGCTGGCTTTGTTTCCCTTCTGCAGCTGAGTTGCACACCAGGGAACACTCCTCTCCTGGGCCTGTGGGAGAGCCCTTCACACATACCTTGTCCTGTCTGTGGTCAAGAGTAAAAGTCATCCTATGACAACAAAATTAAAACGTTTTTCTTCTTCCCAGGTCTGGTCCCTTACGCCCTGCTGAAAGGCTTCTCTGAGAAGCCCAGGTCACAATCAGCTTCCGGGGAGTGGTGCTGGGGCTTCCTGAACACACAATGACTTGGTCTTTTCAGCAGGAACCCGGGGTTTCCAGCCAACTCACCACAGACCAAGGTTCCCAGGGAAAGAGAAGCCAGACTGACCTCTCCCAGCCACAGACTCCTGCACAGGGACCTGCACAGGGCTCCCGAGGGGGGGGGGAAGGGCAGGGGCTCGGTGACAGCTCTGCTTGGGGTTTCTGTTCACACTCTGTCATGGCTGGGTGTGGAGAATGGAGAACAATGAACATCTGCCCCCCAGATGCTTGAGAAGTCCTTGTATGAGGGCACTCTGGGCTCAAACTAGTCTCAGGGAGATAGATGAGATTGCAACCAGCTTGACATCATATGGAATCAGAAAGGAGACCAGTCAACCTGTGCATCATCTGTCACTTGTATGGACATAGCCTGGTGAATCAGCATGCTGTCAGCTTTATGCATGTATTCATATGTTTTAGTATGTTGAACGTCATTACTTTAGTATGTTGAATGTCATTACTCAACACAGCAAAACCCCTCCATGTTAGAGTGTAGAACAAAGAAGACTTATTCTTAAGGTCAGTGAGCACAGCAGCCACAGGAAAGTAGTAAATAATTCCTAGGAAAACTTTAAGGGGCAATTTAGTGGACCCAAATGCCAGGGGTCTCAAGGCACGGTAGTTTGGTATATTACACAAAACAATATACAATGATTTCAGTTCCAATAAAATAAAACAAAACTTCCTCCACATTGCCATGTATGTTACTTCAAAGTACCACAGTCTACTCCGATGTGAGTACACCCCACATTTTGCATACCTGCTCCCCAAACACGAAAGCCCAGATTACCTCCAATTTGCTAGTGACAGTGACTCTAACAATAAGCATCCTCAAATCAGATGGGCAGGCTGCACCCATGAACTTTGGAGTCGCTGGGACCAAAGGTGTATTTCCTGCTCTGTCCCAGGGCAAGTGGCTCCTGTTAGGGCAGTGGTGGCAAATCTATGGCACGCATGCCACTGCCAACATGCAGAGACCTTTCTGTTGGCACAGGAGCCAAGTCATCCCAGCAGCTGAGCGTTGGACAAAAGTTTTTTTTTTTTTTTCCCCCTCCAGAAGTTGTTTTTTTCTAAACTAAAACCTCATGATTCAGGTTTAGTTGGAGTGTTGGCATTTTTCAGTAAGTGGGTTTTGGGTTGAAGTTTGGACACACAGTATCTAAAAGGCTCACCATCACCTAAGGCGAGGCTGAGATCATAACATTTTCCACAAATGTGGCTGGCATGACCAGAGGTGAGTTTGGGACAATGCCAGCCACACTTGTAACTAGGCAGGGATGGAGGCCACTTGCCCTTGGCACTGGTATCCCTGCTGGAAAGCTTGTGATTCAGGCTCACACAGCCGCAGAGGAAGCTGGGTGGGGAAGTCTTTCTTGCATCCAGAGACAGGAGACAATGACAATGTTCTGTAATTATCTCTGTCACATTCATCCATAAATGGCCCGTCCAGCAACTGGACTGTTTATCCATGTGGATTCTTGGCCTTTTTCTTTAGTTCGCAGGAGTTCCTCAGAGAGCCGAGACCTTTACATGGCAAATACCTTCTTCTAGGCTACCCTTGGCCATGGTCACCTGCAATGAACACATTTCACTCATTTCTTTGTTCTTGTCTGTCTTTAAAATATGACTCCATAGGTCACAACAATATTCTGCTCCATTTTTTTCTGCTTTATACATTTGTGGTTTTATTTTTGGACTCAACCTTTTTTTTTTTTTTTTTTTTTTTGGCTTTTTGAGACAGAGTTTCACTATGCAATTCAAACTGGCCTTGAGTTCACTTTGTAGCCCAGTCTCGAACTTGCTATGATCCTCTCCTCAGCCTCCCAAGTGCTGGGATTACAATTGTTTAATTCATGGGAAGTGTGCTCACTTGGGCAGCACATGTAATAATTCATGGGAAGTTTATCTTTATGTATCACTTAGGAAACTGATGATCAACTTCTCTATTTGATGTACTCATTCTCCCAGTGCGATTTACAAGAGGATTCATCCTTCCTCCAGTTCTTAATCACAGGCTGTTCCCTCACATGTACGCTGACCCTCTGAGAGGGCTCTATGGGAACCCCATGGTCTTGTGTCCATGGCAGCCCATTTTGTGGCTTTGACTCGATCTGTCTAGGACAACCCCATCCCAGTGTGTGAGAACCAGGCACAAGGTGCCATGGGACAGATAAGCAGGCAGATCCTTGGTGGGGTGCAATTTTGGGGGCTCACTGACAGAAGTGTGGTCCTGGGCAGCAACAAGACCAGTTGGGTCAAAAGAGGGGTATGCATGGGGGTTAGGATGAAAAGGACTTCATTCTGACTGGAATGTACCTGGTTTTTTGTAAGCTAATACCAGACCTTTCTCATAACCAGAATCTGGCTATAAAGACCCACGCATAACTTAAATGGTTTTATCCATCACAGTTTGATGGAAAACTATGCTGGACTTCTCCGGGACCATGGGGCAAGATGGTAGTCATGCCATGCTGAATGCATATAGAGTTTTAATATAATTAGTCAATCCTCCACTCTTCCTTCTCGGGATCTTCCTAACAATTCAGGGCTTGTGTTACTTTGGTGTGTGTGTGGTTATTTTGTTTTAG